ACCCGCCCGCCACCGGCATGGTGCTGCGAGCTCCTGGGGTCCGGTCGGCCCCTCGGTACCTCCCAGAGCGTGCCCAGTACTCTGCAAGACGCGTTATTGCTCAGGACCGGGCTGTGCTGCTGTGCGAGGCACTGTGGTACTTCGTCCTCTGATTATTTTTCTCCCGATTCATTTCTAAACTTTCTGTTAAGGTTCTGAGCTACTATTTTCACGGGACTGTGTGTGAGCAGCCTGCTTGGGGCCTGTCACAGCCAGTGAAGCAGGGATTTCTTTTTCCCTTGTGCACCATTTTACACAATATATGTTAAATTCGCTTGCTGTTACCCGGTATTGTAATGATGTTTTGTGTTTCTGCATGGTCAGTAAAAGCCTCAGCTTTACCATGCTGAGTAGCACGGTGCCCTCACAGACTGTGCCACCGCATCCCCTGTGCCCTTCTCCAGACAACTCACAGATGGGCCATACAGCCTGAGACCACCACAGCTACTGGTTATTTCTGCTTTCCACTTTCCTTGCTTCTAATTAATACTTCCAGTACAAGAAACTTTTTACTCCCATTTTTTTTAGCTCTCCTGTTGTGCTTACCACCCTAACTGCTTGCCTGCTTAAAATCCCAGCAGACCATATTGAGACAATTTTCCTTTGTTACCTTCCTGAATTAAAAAACTCCATTATGAAACATTACTCCACTTTAAAAAGCACACGTATTGAGCCTCCTTCACATAGCTAATTTCTGCATTTATCTCCCACATATCTACTGAAGTTATTCTTTGAAATAATTTATACTAATTTACCTGGTATGGGCATCAGTTTTAATAGTTCATACAACCTTAAGATGTTTTTAGGAACCCGTTTTACTAATGTCATCGTTAGCTACCTTGTACTCTTCTACTGAGAACTTCAACTGATACAACCCGATAACTGAGTTCAAGAATAATTCAGGATTAATTCAATTCTGTGTTCCTTGCAGAACTTATGGGGAAATACTCTCTGGCCCTGCAGATCTGCTGTTGCTCAATTTTTCTGTTTTGTCAGCTGGTCTACACACTTCAGGTGAGAAAGATGCTCTAATACACCTCTCAACATGCCAGCATAGGAGCTACTCCAAGTTTCTCTATGATGAATACAAATGCAAAAAAAACCCCAAACCAACCATTACTTACTAGCCAAATCTTTTGAATGTTCGAATCAGAACAGGCAGTAACAAGGCACAACAAATCAGAAATTAATCAATCCCTTTTAAATTGCTGTCATATCCTTCAGCTCGTATGCTTTTCCTTCCCAAGATCATTCTGATTCTGACCTGATCATTCTGATTCTGTAGGTGGACCAGTTCACCTACATATCACTTTGAATTGTCTAATCAAAGATACTTATAGTGGATAGATCTAAACCAATTTGTGTGTAGGTACTGAATTTGATCACCTTCCCACCAAGCTGCATGGCAGTGCAGTTGCTAGTCGTCACATTGAGATGTACATTTTTTCATCAGCAGCATTTGAGTGTAGCGGCCAAAATAACGAATCAGAGTGTTCTTCTTTCTTTCTGCAGAGCAGGGGCCATTTATTTTTCCAACAGTACATACTTACGCTCTCGTTAAAGCTCTTACTTCATAATTAGCAAATCAGCAGTCAGACAGCTATCTACCTTTGCTCCTATCAGCATAAGACCACTCTAACACGCGCTGTGCAGACCAATCAACTTCTTGTTCACACAGCAGTAACTTTTCCCAGTTCAGTGTTGGAGCTGTCTGTTGTTTTTCCCTGCCACCTTAGCACAACTCAACAGTTGCTTATCTTTCTTCCAAGGCCTGTTTTTCATCAAAGCCCAGCTGCTTCTCAGGGGCTGCGCAGAGCTGACAGGCCAATGTCACATTTGAGTAATACCATTATATCTGGTCTCTTCAGATAATTAAATTAGAGACAAAATTGGACACTGCTTTATTTGTTATCAAGTATGAAATCTCATATTTGAAGAAGTATACACTTCTTTGCTGCACCAGTTTACTCCTTTAGCACAAATATGATAGAAGTGCTAGAGGAGGTAGTCTGGCAATGATGGTCCTGCTGTGGAACACACAAGAGTTTAATTATAAGAAGTAAATATGCTGAACATTCTCATCATAAGAGCAGTAAATCATCCCTCTTAAAACTCTAGCGGCTTCTCCATTATCTATGTTTTCTTGTCCTCCAGCTCCTGTGTCACTGTATGGTTTCCTATGGGAGTTAGGTGTCTGTGTAGAACTGAGAAGTCTAGATTCTACAGTGGTCTTTAACTGTGGTCCTGTTCAGCCTCTGCATAACAAGTGTTTTGTGATTTCTCTGTGTGTGGCCAAAAAAATTCATAGACAGCCTCTCTCTCTCCAAGACAGAAGAGATGTATTATGCAATTGCCAGCATGCTTTTTCTTGTGAGCACCTAATGCACTCAAAGACTTTTCCATCTTTTCTTGCTCCCCTCTGATCTGTATATTTGTACAGACAGGTCTGGGCTGATTTATGCTCACAGATTGGTGCCTGCTTTTACACATGGCAAACTGATGGCTGAAAGTTGTGGACAGCAGAACACCTAGGTTAACTCAGAGAGTCAGTAGGTTAAAAAAAGATATTAGACAAATCATACAAGGAGTATGTCAGCAAGAGACAGTTCTGGCTTAGGAAGTCTCTGTGCACTGTGAAAGAGGTGCTGTATGTTTGCCCCATTTATTCCTGAGGACGCTTGACATTGGCCACTCTTAGAGACAGTGTAATGGACTGGATAGACCTTGAGTTGGACTCAGTAAAGGATTCTTATGTTACTTATATCTTAAAATGAAGGCATGCATTACTGCTGAACTGCTGTACTTTGGGAAAAAGGCATCAAGGCAAACTGCACAAAGGTATGGCACGTGTGTTGGCTTTATTAAGGTTATCAATCTCGGGCAAAGACTTCAAGTAATGCATTACTGATGCTGCAGTGTAGATTTTGAAAATGTGGTTGTGCTGTTCTTAGTTTTGTAATATTTCAGTTTAGAATATGACTTTATTGGATAGTGTTATTTGTTTGTAATTTGTACATCCTCCTTGTTCACTGCTTCCTACTTACTCCCTTCTACCTACCTTATGTATATTTGCGATGACACACATTGTCTGTGTGGGACCACAGAAAAGTTATCATCTACCTTATGGGATCTACACAAATATCACATTAAATAAACTGATTATATGTGTTCTGTGAGCAGTGCGATCAGTACTTTCTGACTACTGAAGAGTGATTTCTTTTTTTATGTTTCACTCGATCACTTTCACTGGATCGCTTCTGAATCTTTCACTTCACAAAATATCTCCTGATGTAAGAGCTGTTTTTCTTAGAAGCCCATGTAGATCTTTCATATATTTAAAGTTTACCTTTTATCAGAGAAGGAGCAGCTTGGCAGAAAGGTTTGCTTTTAAAGGCAACTCCCTTATGCAGTCCCTCACACAACCCAACAGTAAAGAAGGTCTCACGTTGACTCTTGATTTGTAAATCTTTTCCTTCTACACCCATGATACATGAAAAATGTAATCTGGGTCTAGAATCTGGTGAATACACCAGCAATTTCTTTCCCAAAGCTAATGCTGGTGAAGAAACGATGGCTCCTATTGATTCCAATGTGAGAACTTCCCTTCCAGGTTTGGGGCCAGAAGCATCACAAGGGAGGTTTGGTTTTACTGATCAGTTTTATCCCCAGTGTCCCATAAAGCAACACGTCCCTCTTGAACTGCTTTTTCCTACAGCTGTGTTCCTTGCGGCTTTCAGTGTTGCTCCAATGGTTGAATATTAATCTAGAAACAGGCTGAAAATAAGGATGATGTTTCCTGTCAAGAGAATGAAATGTTAGACTAGAACAGCTATTAGAGTAGGGAAATCTTGTCATAAGAAGCAGCATTTGCAGTTGTCAAGTCTAGACATCTAAGAGAGCATTTGTCAGCTACTTAGATTCATTAATTAGCCAATTAATTTAATTAACTTATGCTTTAGGAAGCAATCGGTGTAATGACTGGAGCTTTGTGAAAAAAAAAATGTAGCAAGTTTAAATCTGTAACATACTTTATTGCTTGTATAAGCTGAAAAGAGCATTCCGGGCATCAGATCTGAAAGGGTGGTAGTTTCCAGCAAGGGGGAATGATGATAGGAAGTTGAAAATTAGACACCAACCTTTACCACTGTTCAAGCAATATACATCTGTCACACCCAAATGTGTGGTTCTGTTAAACTTCTGCAAATTTGTATGTAGACCATTATTTTGCAAAGATTGTGTTATCGAGTGTTGCTCTACTGAGGTAAGCATAATCCAAAATAAATCACCTTTAGAACTGTTGAATAATTATTGACTGGTCTAAGTGTTGAAATTATTGATTCTGCTTGTCTTTTTTTAAGACAAAATTGTATTTAACATTACATTATTTGTAGCAGATTTTCAACCATGATGCAAATCCTGGTTTTGGATTAAAACAAATCCTACTTAAGTCTAGCTCTTGTGTAATATGAATCTACAATTTATAAAATTTATAGGAAAAGATTGATACCCCTTTCTGGGGGATGTGTGTGTTTGTGTGCAGGAAACTATATGTGAGACTGCTCCTACTTAACTCTAGCTTTCTGAGATGGGAAAGGGACAGGCTACTGGAGGCAGAGTTGGGGGGGGGAAGAGGTAGAAACATCTTAAAGACAATTTTACTGCCAAAGAAGATATGAAATCCAGCTAGACTTCTGAAACACGTCACCACTCTTATCGGAAGTTAGATGTAAGTAATACCTCTCTTCTGTCATACCCATGGCCTCATTGTGTGTGGATACAAGTTAATGAATTAAAAATCAGCAGCACCTCTGAAGACTTTTTCCGCTGGATAAGGGAAATGTATTCCTTTTGCTGTCTTTATGTGCTTACTTACATTTACAGTGTGACAGTAATCTCTACACCTAAGCTAGG